TCATCCATCTATCTATCATCCATCTATCTATCATCTATCTATCTATCATCTATCTATCTATCTATCTATCTATCTATCTATCTATCTATCTATCATCTATCTATCTATCATCTATCTATCCATCTATCTATCATCCATCTATCTATCATCCATCTATCTATCATCTATCTATCTATCTATCTATCTATCTATCTATCTATCTATCTATATCTATCTATCTATCTATCTAATCAATCAATCTATCTAATCAATCTATCTAATCAATCTATCATCTATCTATCTATCATCCATCTATCTATCATCCATCTATCTATCTATCTATCTATCTATCTATCTATCTATCTATCTATCATCTATCTATCTATCATCCATCTATCTATCATCCATCTATCTATCATCTATCTATCATCTATCTATCTATCTACAGGATTCTGCATTTATGGTGTTCAGACCATCTTTTTCCATAACAGCGCTTCTCAGATGCTCCGTTTGCACACTGGTGAGGGGACAAAGGTGGCTGTTCCTTCTGGGTAACATCCACAGAGCGTGGAGGAGGGAGCCCTCTGACTCCACTGAAGGGAGGAAAGCCAGGCCAGAACAGCAAAAGGCTTAGAAAGGGACAAAGGGTCTGGTGAGACTGGGACTAGAGGGAATATTGGGGTCAGGAGCAAGTGAGAAAACTGGGGAGGAGACTAAAAGTCCTAATTTTTTCAGGTGTGATTTACAGTTTAGTATCAGGTGGATCCAGAGGAAGTAAATATTTTCCTGTTGTCTGAGAGACGATCCAGAACCAAAAGTAGCAGATAGTGAAGGAAGGGAGAAATACGGACATTAAAAAAATCATTTAAGGTTTTCATTTATATCTGAAGGTAGACCTGTATTTATTTGCTTGCTGCTAATTTGATATGAGCAACATAATTGTCCAAGAATAGCTAAAATCCATAGAGTAGAAAACGTAAAGTTTAAGATTTCATATAATAGTTTAAAGCTTTATTTAGAGAAATAAATTTCAGTCAGAAACCCTTCATTTTAGCACAAGGGTTTCTTGTCAGTTTGGAGAAAGATGTCAGTTCTTGCATATCTACTAATTTAGGAAAATCTAGGGTAAAGCAATTTTTATAAGAGCTTGTTTTTATTTACCCAAAGGATGCACAAGGAACTGATTAAGAAAATATTGTATTCCAGAGAGAAGGCTGTATTTTGTTAGCATTTTTTCCTCACAATACTAGAAAAAAAGAAACACTTCAATATGTCTTTTAGTGTTAGAAATCACTCTGATATACTGATTTAAGATTTAATAATATTTACAAACACAAACATATATATGTTTGAAGGTATCTGGCAAACACAGTTGAAGAAGACCATGAAGAAGCAAAGTATGACATTTTCCCATGGGCTTTGGGAAAAGCCTGGAGAAAGCTCTTCCCTGATTTCTTAAGGCTGAGAGATCAACTATGGAGTAGAATTGACTACAGGGCTATTGTGAGCAGACGCTGCTGTGAAGAGGTAGGGAAGGGGATTTAATGTTGTAGATGCTGAAGTTACACCAGTTAACACCAGTCACTGGTCTACAGCTGTGCACAACTGCCTCCCTAAAGTGCACTGACAATCAATCCATGGGAAAGAATAGGTGCAGCTAAAATGTAATGGTTCATTTATCCTCCATGACTTTTTTTTCCTTCTGCATTTAAAATATAGTTTGAAATTATGTTTTTAAAGTAAGCTAGGATATTTTATATTGCACTGCTGTTAAAAGTTTCTGCTGGCTAGAATCTGCTTTATGCCAATATTTTTTATTTAAAATCTACCTTCATTTGTTTCGCTTCAGCCACTTTAGAGGTAACTTTGTGTGTGTGTTTGCTTTCAATCTGTAAGTTTGTACACAAGTAAAACCTTCAAATAAAAATCCCAGCAGCTCAGGTGAAATTTTAACGCCTTCAAAACTAATTATGCCATTTCAACTGACCTTTCGAGGTAAGAGTTTTTCACTACATTTATGAAAAACTTGGAAAGTTTTAACACTTTTAGCATTCTCTACTATTAATGCAGTGTTACAACCTACAATTTTCAAATATATTAGGAAGGAAAAAATATATTCCTCACTTTTGAGGCAGAATGTATCCCTGGAAAAGCCCTTGTCATGGTCTGAGTATATAATGCTTACTTAGAGCTGGCGGAAAAGAAAAGGGTTCCCTCTCTGGGGATGGGATTAGATGCTTATAGGAAAAGTACAAGGAATAAGGTGAGTGCAGAATGCTTTTCCCAGCATCTTCTCATATCATTAGTTCAGCGATGCTGTGAACAGGAATATCCATCTGGTTGATGTTTAGTAGTTAGTCAAAGACACCATCTTCTGTCCCACATGCAAAGAATGAGCTGGTGTTTGTGCTGATTCACCTGAACATACAAGGCTGCAAGTTGTTATCTTTCCACATCTGATTGGCATCTGGATTACTTATTTCTGCCTAAGGTAGCAAACTTTCTAGTGGGATAGAAGCAGAGAGATAATACATGATACCCACTTCAACTACGTCGTATTAATTCCCTGCCATACGCTAACTGGATCCCTTGTTTTCAGCGTACGTTTTCCCATCCCTTTTGTGTTTTCTGACCCAGTGGCTGTCCCAATAGGTGATGGCTATTGCTCCAACACATTACATATGGCAGCGAGAGCGTTCTATGCACCACAGTGGAGCCATGAGGAATCACTCTGATGAAGTCCAGCTGCCCCGGGGGCCCAGCGCTACCCCTACAGACTGCCTGCTGTGTGGCAAGAAAGGAAGATTTGTGAGACTGGGATTATCATCTTCCTCCTCATCTACCGACACTTTGGAGATGATGGAATTACATTCATCCCAGAATTCAAAGGACACCCTTCCGACTGAAAAAATGCTCGTTGACTCTCCTGCTTATGCCCAAGGTATGGTTTAATATTGCAAATAATTTCCAGTTAGTTTAGGCAACTGAGGCTGTATTTGCCTTTCAGAGTAGTGCAGGGACTTTTGTGTCCCTCCCTATTACCTTGGCAGAACTTTGTTTTTGCTGCCACAGATCCTTTTTCATTTTCACATCTTGTATCTTGACTTCCTGGAAGTACCAACTGCTTTACATTGAGTCTCTTCAAATTATCTTCATCTGCTACAGTAGATTTTGGGTTGCACTCCAGTCTATTTAGGCACTTATTACTATTCTAGCATTACAAATGAAATTGAAAATTCTATTTTAAACACTTAGGAATTGGTGGAAGAAACAATGAAAATACTGAGGTGTGTCATGTGAGTTAAAAGAGAGGGTGTTATGTGAGTTAAAGTGCTCTTGCTGGGACCACTGTTCTTAGAAAGGGCTGGCTGCTCAGTTGTGGTCATCAGTTTGGGCACAGGCTAAATCATAACTCACATTTTCCTTGCATCTCAATTGTTGACTTCATTTTCAGACTGGGGTACGAGCAAGAAACAGCACAAAAGTTTGTGAAAATTGGCGATGTGTTTGAATCTCTGCACATTAATCTACTCAAAGTAGCATCCTCAGCCTTTGCACGAGAAGCCTCCATTACATACAGAAGTTATGGGGCACACTCATTATTAAATAATTACTGAAAGTGGAACACACCTGAGATGTAAATCTCCTGGGGCAGCTGTATAAGGCTTCAGCTCTGCAAAGATACTTCCCTGAACTTACACTGGCAAGTTCCTAGTGTAGTTATTTAATGCAGGGTTAGTTATTTATTTTGTATTTATTTTGTATTTTTTATTTGGATGTGTTCTCATTAATATCCACTTTTCACTATTATAGTAAGATTGTGTTACTGCTTTTGACAGCTTTAGTAAAACTTAGTGATTCTCAAGGGACCCCTCAGCTTAGAAAAATTTGGCATTTGAATATTTCCTGAGATACAGAACAAGTTAGGTGTCTATGACACATCACTTTATAATTTAATGGGTTAAACAGCACCAGGTGCTCATGTGAGACCCTTAAACACTTAAAATTAAGTCTATTTTTACTCGAGAAATCTTGCTTTTCATATCTAGTCAGAAAAAATTGTGTTTACTTTGATTGTTTTGAGAATGTTTTATATAAAGCAAAGTTCACAATTAACCAGGCAACTTTCAGCATGAGTGGCAGAAGTGAACCAAAGCTGTTTGTGTCAACAACTGTCTTTCTCTTGAGATGAGCACAGCTTTACCAAGCAAGCAAATTCAGTGAATTTCAGTAGCTCTTTAAGTTGTGCTTTAAGAACATTGTTCTTCAAGAAACCAACAGTCACCAGCTGGTAGCCAACCAAGTATTCATTTAAAAGAACAGACTTTGATCCCTTGTTTTCTTACTAAATTTTTTTTTCTCCTTATTTCTGGTAGACTGTCAGAGACTGTCCAGCAAAAGGCAACCATGTAGCACCTTGAACCAAGATAAATCCATGGACTGGTTTATAAGCAATGAAGAATGAAATACAGCTGATGAGACAGAAACAGATGCTGTGATTTGCAGAACAATCTGTGCTGCATCACAGATGCACCAGACCTGATGATTCCCTTAAAACTTTTCCCTTTAAATAGTAGGTGGGGTTTCAAACTTCACACGCAGTAGAAATCAAAGCAGTCATTACTTAAAAGTTACACAACTTGCAAAATGTAGCAGCTACTTTGCAATGTTTTATTTTGTTCTGATACAATATTCAAATTAGCAGCTAACGCAGCAGCAGCATCAAGAAAGCAGCGGCCGAAACTTTCTCAGCTTGGTAAGGAATGCTAATCAAAAAAACAAAAGAAGTTACTCCTTCAGTATTTCAGTATGCAGTGATTATTTTATTATTATAAGTTTTATGATTTCATGACATAGTAACATGCCAAATGCTAGTACAAAAAAAAAAAAAAAAAAGTAGTACTTTCTGGAAATAAAATACCACTAAACATTTAAGATAAAAACCACTTTCCCAGTGTCTCACCTGAGTGACCTTCCTGCCAGTAAGACGGTCTAGCAACGTAAGGCACTGAGTGATACATTTCAGCACCATCAGAAAGTGATCCTGTGAGAAGCACATTTAGTTTGTTACTTCTTTCCCACAAGCTTAAGACACACATGCAGACTAGAGTTGCCAATGTGCACAGATTATTTTACCTGACAAATTCTTTATTTTTTTTTTTTTTTTGCTTCTGTTATGGTGCTTTGTTGTCACCTATGACTCTTTGCTCTGGTATGGATTTTGCAAATCTGTACTGTATATATCTCTATATCTGTTGTATATGTGTACATATATATGTGTATGTGTGAGGCATCCTCTTTGGGCAGCGTGACTTTTAAAGCAGAGCACACTGGCACTGTTTCTTCTATGGAATTCTTAAGTCCATCAGGGTCCTCTAAAGCAGCCTTAGGACAAATAAAAAAGAACTGAATTTTATTGAAAAACAAAAGTTTGAAAACAGTAGTAGAAGAGCCGTCATTCCTTATTGCAATGTATTTTCTACTTAGTCTAGATTATTAATAAGATATTTAAAATTAAACAATTACTATTGTAGTCTTTTGCAAACTTGACAAGGTCTAGGCTGTCCTTGTCTATTCTCAGCTGATCTAAGAAAAAATACTGCCTCTTCCTACACTGGATTACCAAAGTGCAGTAAGAGAGTGTCTCATGAGCAGTAATGTTCTTACCATTGTATTCGCTTTCTTTAAGAACTGCTTGATCCTCAGTGTGGATTTCTTCATACTCCTTTTGAGGTGGTTCTTCAATATTTTGTTGAGTTTCCACCATTTGGCTTGATTTGCAATTCTTGATTTGAGCAGGGAGTACTAACCAGTTTCTGTGAGTTACCTCAACAATCCTTTCACACAGAAAAGGAAGCTTGCAGGTCCGTATTCTGTCTAAAAGTTCAATAACCTGTGTGATGCTTTTGAAGAAATGCAAAGGATAAAGTAGTATTTCAAAAACTCAAATCACACAATCTCAATTCTAATGTGACTTTGTCACATTCTTTACCTTTGAGGTTATAAGAGTCCTTCAATTTTAGGGTAAAGGAGTAGCAACCTGACCACTGAATTTGAGAACAGTACAGTTACTCTGAGGATGTCAGAAAGTGGAGACTTCCACGGATCAGAATGAGAACATTCCCAAAGGAGAGGCCAAAGGATTTGGGCAAGTGTAATTTATACCGAGTGCAACTCCCTAAAGAAGTTACATATGAGGAAAAAAACCAAACTTTGCTAAACATTTCATTAATGCTGGATGTGAATTTTAAAAGAAGTTTGTTTTTGTGACAATGCCAGCTGTAAGTGCCAGAAGTAAATACTTACTTTGCTAAATACACAGCGCACACACCGCCCTGTTTCAGGCTGGGGTGTACAACAGGCAGAGCAGACTGAGGGTTAAGCATATCCAGAACTATCTGCAAGAGAAAGATACATTAATGTTTACTGGGAAAACATGTATATCTACCAATGTAATACAGCAATGCTTGGAAAAAAATGTTTATGGGAAATAGATGCATACAGCAGCAGTATGTAATCATGCCTCTCAAAAGCTGAGGTCCACACTTCTACAAAACCAAGTCCTTGCTACTTCCAAGTGAATTTCTACTAAAACAAGTAGCTTTTCACCACCCAAGCAGGCCTATAGGAAGTTAAACCTCCTGCTAACTACATTCCATAATGCTGACATTAATAAAAACTTTTAGAAGACTACGTTTACTAATACATATGAATACCTATTTCTCAAATGTAAAAGAAAAAAAAAAGACTGTTCAGGTGCATCTTTATAATGAAAAGAGCACACTATGGTATCAACATCTAACTTGCTTGTTGTTTCAAGATTTGAAACTCGTCTTTGGCAATTTATCCATCTTCTACTAGAAAGTTATGCAAACTGTAAGACAATGGGATATGCAGTATTTGATATTTCCTGTTGATTGTAAAGTTTTTTAAAATGGTATTTTTATGCCATATATACATTGCTCAAACCATTTAAAAAAATAGTCAGTTGTTTAAAGTATCTAGTAAGTAAGCAGTTGTAAGCAGGTTTTCTGCTTTACAGGGAAGGGCAGTTAACATAAAGCTGTGTTCCCCAGCATGTCTCCCTTTAGAAAATCTGGATACAAGAAGCAGGACAGGAGAGCAACCAAAGGCATTCTTTAACTTATGCTTGAGTTACATTGTCCATTCTATAAAGCTGACAGCAAAGTGGTTGTATATTTATACTTTTAATAAGGTTATGTATTCTTCTGAAATTTAATGCTTGAAATATGTATCTCAGTTATAAAAATATCAGTTTCTGACAAATACAAGGAAGTAAGTTGGTCTTTCCTTACAAGACAGCAGTAATTAATTGTTATACTTCTGTAGTGCAGCTTTATCACTCTTTCATTTGGGAAACCGTAACCGAAACCTTGACAATACTTGTAAACCCAACCAAACCCCACAGTGCTGCTTTCACTGATGAAGACGCGGTTGTTTTTTCTCACGTTAAACTAGACATGGGAATCCCGTTCTGAGTGTGAGCACGAGAGGTTTTAATTTACGCAGAAAAGATCCACGTCAAATGGGACTTTTTGGACTCACTGCGTCAAGTGTTACAGATTTCAGATCCGCAGCAGCCGTTGAAATGTCTCTAAGAACGAAGTCCACGTTATCCGGCCACTCGTCCGTGTGTCCTATTTCCCACGCGGTTCGCCAGTGCCTGTAATTCTTCTTGGCTAAATTATGATGATCATCTCTGATTTCATAACTTATAACACGTCCTTTGGGCCCAACTGAAAACAAACAAAAGACACTACACTTAAAAAAAAAAAAGCGCAGCCTACAACATAAGGACACATTTATATCTCAACCTCACTTTGGGAAATAATCCCATAGGAGGCAATCAATTACCATCTATTTTTTTCTTTACATTTAAAACAAACATATGCAGAAAAAGTGCCATGTTAGTTCTTTTACAGACACAAATCCATCAACCCACAGATGAAATAAAGCAGTTGCAGTAGTACAGACTGTTCCCAAGACGTCCTCCTGAAGTCACTCCTGCAGCAAAAGACAACTTGAGCATCTGTGGCCCTATCACATCTGTGGCCCTATCACATCTGTGGCCCTATCAGCCTGTGATTCTCCTGCCAGAGCTACCAGAGGCACCAGCTGAGAACGCTGCAACAGTGGTCACAGCTCACAGATGATATAAAGCTGACAGACAGTGACTGCTTCTGTTGTTATTGAGATTTGAAACTGATAGTTCTAAAGTTTTTTGACAATCCTCGTTCTGTGCATAGTTTGTTCTTCATCTGTTTTTTCCTCAGGGTTGGGGAAAGGCTAAGAAAACTGCCAGACCTGCTCACTGATCTCAGCCCCACAGACAAGTTTTCAAGTGTACTCTTTGACTTACATAGGCTCCTGTAATTTTCCTGTTATTGTTTGCAACAGCAATAAATTATTTTATTAAGTCTAAATTTACTATCCTGAAGTTTACCATGTTCAGTCCAATACACAATGCTCCTCATAAAGGACACATTACCAGGCTGTCTGTGTACTGCTATTCTATCCTTGTATTACTCCCACTCCTCAAAGCTATCACACTGTTGGCTTTTCCCTCTCCTTGCTACTTTGGAATGGGCACAGGCAGCTTTCAGCAACCACCAACTCAGAGGGTCACGTTCTGTGTCCTTCTAAGCTACTTCAGTCTGAAGTTGCCAGGCTCCTTCCCTCACCTGTGTGATCCCACTGTGAATCCATTCAGACAACAGAATAAAAGAAGCAATTATTTCCCAACAGTCGCTCCTTGATCCAGCTCAGCAGACAAAGGCTGGAGCCAACATGTAGGAAGGGAGGGTTTCAGCAGGTTGCCTTGGATCACCTTAAGCAGTTGCAGAATTGCAGCACCAAGTCTTTATTACTTGAGATTATCAGTTTAGAAATGTCAGAAGAATAAAACTGTTCACATTGGGGGACAGTCTTACTCATTCAAAATAACTCCTACATTTTGTAACTGACTTTTTAATGGGAAAAATAAGATCTAGTTAAAATAAATAGGCAAAACTGTTTGTTATTGTGAAGCTACAGTATGTCAGGCTTAAATACATCGTATTGTCCAGTTTTCAGGGATCTTAAAGTCATGGCAAATACCACAATCTTAATTTTGTCTACTACTGCATGTCAGTAGTTTCTGGGAGTGATTAAAGAAAGAATGGAAAAGAAAACAATGAGTAACACGAAGGGAGGAGATTAACAAAATCTGTTTAATCAATGAGAATTTTGGAAATTAAATACTTCCATGGACCACTAGATTTAAATTCCAGCATTTACCTGTGTGGCAGCTGTTCTTCTTGTTGGGTACCACAGTATTTTGAAGTGCTGAAGGGTACAGAGTAAGCCCACAAAGGTAGAACAACCCGTAAACATTTCACAGAGACAGCATAGTCTATAATGCAGCCTTTTAATGAACAGTGGGATATAGTAAAAAAAGAAATGTTTCACAGCTCAGGTATTCAGTTACTCTGAGTGCCCTCAAGCAGTGAACAAAAGCCTTCAGAATATGCAACTTGTGCCTTTCTGCTCTGTCAGTTCAAGATGATCCATGATGAGGTTCTTGTCTTTACCCTCCCATGTCCTTTACTATTGCAAACAGTGGGGGTTTTGTTTCCTTTCTTTAAGGAATCTGTTCTATCAGGAGCTCATAAATCAGATTATCCTGAAACGTGATCCACTAAGAGGGTGCCTACAGATGAGCTGAAGCTTAAGGCTGAGGTTTCACCCTCACTCACATGGCTGAGTGCAAAGACTCTCTACCTGTCAGAGCACTGAGACCTAGATCGAAGCAGGCTGGCTGTAACGTGAAAAAACAAGTGTGCACACACAGAGGCATTCTCACTGGTAACCAGCAACTGGATTACTCACTTGGTCCATTAAGATGAGGAAAAAAGAAACTGAGAAAAGCAAGATATTGGAAAAACTAGTATGATTAACTCAAAGCCAAAAATAATTATGGCTGAAACTCAGCTTTCTGCAGGGCCTTCTGTAACTGTTTGCACCACAGCCCTCTAAGTAGTCAAAATGGTTTGTAGTCCCTGTCCCGGCTCTGGTGTAACTTTCCTTCAACAAACTATGTCTGAACATGTGAACTGCAGAAAAGCTTTTAAGAACGATATCACAGGATCAATCAGGTTGGAAAAGACCTCTGAGATCATTGAGTCCAACCTCTGACCAAACACCACGTTGTCTAATAGACCATGGCACTGAGTGCCACATCCAGTCTCAAACACCTCCAGGGACGGTGACTCTACCACCTCCCTGGGCCACCCACTCCAATGCCTGATCATTCTCTCTGTAAAGAACTTCTTCGTACTGTCTAAGCTAAACCTTCCCTGGCACAGCTTAAGACTGTGTGCTCTTGTCCTACTGCTGGTTGCCTGGGAGAAGAGACTGATACCCACCTCACTACAACCTCCTTTCAGGTAGAATAGCACTATGAGAACCATGAGTATTCAGTCAAAAGGAAGGCAAGGTGTGATAAGGAAATGAATAAATTCTGTGCTTTCTAAAACCAGGTCCTCACCTGCCCGTGACAGAAACAAGCTCATAGCGCCAGAACCGCTGCCGGTTTCTAGCACGGTGTCTCCCGGGTGGACATCCATCATCGTCAACATCGCGCTCACGTCCTGCGGGGGCGAGAAAAACCACGGCACGGTCACCAGCCTCGAGAAACCGAAAGGCGAGACCCTGCCAGCGACCTCCCGGGTCAGGACACTTGGTCCCCACCCACCTTGGGGTAGGCGATGGTGGGTCCCCGCGGCATGAGCAGCACGTACTCCTCCAGCGACGGCCGCCTCAGCAGCAGCCGCTTCCCGGCCGAAGTTCGCAGCACCTGCCCGGGCATCTGCCCGATGATGTCGTCGTGGGGCAGGACCCCGCCGGGGCCGGCCAGCACCGCCCCGCCCGCCAGCCGGCACATCACCTTCAGCGTCCTGTGGTCCTTCTTCCGCAGCTCCGCCAGCGCCAGCTCCCCGGCGCGGAACGGCGCCGGGAGCGCTCCCGCCGCCTCAGCAACCCCACCCCGAGGGGCTGCGGTGGTGGCCGCCGCCTCGTCCATCCCCCCCTCCTCCTCCTCCTCCTCGTCGGGACGCTGAGGCGGCGGCTGCGCTGCCGCGCACCGCGACACCGCCGCCGCCTCCTCGGGCGGCAGCAGCCGCCTCACCCGCTCCAGCGGCGACAGCGAGGCTTCCCATGCCCTCCTCCGAGGCCTCCCTAGGGCGGGAGAAGAGAAGGAGGAGGAGGATGATGATGAGGAGGAGGAGGACGAGGAGCGGGAGGCGGCGGGCACCGCCCGGCGCAGCGCGCGCAGGGCCCTCATGGAGAGGCGGGAGAAGCGGAGGGAGCGCCTCGCGCCGCCGGCGCCCTCGCCCCGCGGCCGCCGCCTCTTCGCCGCCTGCGGTCCCGACGGGCGCCTCCGCGTGTGGGACGCGGCCGGCAGCCGCCTGCAGCACGAGTACGTGCCCTCCGCGCACCTCAGCGCCGCCTGCACATGCCTGGCCTGGGCCCCGCCGGAGGGGAGGCAGATCCCCGGCAAGGTGAGGGGAGAGGGGATGGGGAGCGCTGAGGGGGGGGTGTGTGGGGATGTGTGGGATGGCGTGTGTGTTGGAGGTGGGGAGGAATGGGGATGGTGGAGACCCCGAGCGCAGCCCCTGACGCGTGGCCGCGGCCCGCTCGGCTTCACCCCGCCCTCCCGGCGCCATGTGGCCGGGCGGGCCGGGGAGCGGGGGAGCGGCGGGCCGGGGTGAGGGTCCCGCGGGCCCCGCCGGGGGCTCGGGCACGGACACCGCCCGCCCTCCCCTTCGCCCCCACGGCGGTATGGCCACGTGTGGCGCGCCCGGGGTTTGGGGGGTAAATCCGCTTCTCCCCCCCCCCCCCCCCCCCCTCACTCCCGCCATCCTCCGGCCCGGATGGCGCTGCACAAGGTAAATTTCACGTGTTGGTGGGGGAAGCTGCTCTGGGGGTTTTGTTGGGTTTTATTATTTTTTTTTTTTTAAAACACAAACAAAATAGAAAAAAAATTAGCGGAAGCACTGACTGTGTAAAACCATCTGCCTCTCGTGTAACCTGCACGGAAGAAGCCTTCCTTGAAAGGAGCAAGGTACGTTAACTTCACGGCGTGCCTTGCCTTAGCCGAAAAGGTGGTGCCGCAGAGCAGGTCGGCTCTGTGCGCTCACTTAGTTCACATTCCCGTAAAGGCACTGTCTCCCCACACTTCCTTACCCTTGGAAGTACTCCCGTGGAAGCTGCTACGCTGTCTCTGATGCATCTTTCAGAGCCCAGGAATCCTGCAAGAAAGTATTCAGTAGTTTCTTTCACGGCACACATCAGAGAGCTTGGGTGTTCTCCGCCTTGATCAAGGTTTAGTTAACTTCGCTTCAGGTGAACACTGAACCTGAAAATATCTGGAGTATATGCTGAGGTACCTTTTTATCCTCTTTATGTTGAAGTAATCCTATTTTCTTTAGCTAGAATATACCATTTCCTGAGGAAAACAGATGTATCACTTGAAAAAAGTATGTGAAGTCCACTAAGAAGTAGGGAGGGCTTTTCAAAGTGCGTTTTGGTACATCAGCAATTCAGTGTATTCAAAATACTGTTAAGAGTATTTCAAAAGGTGTAACACATAGACTACCAACCCAAGGGAAAGCAACGTTGTCTCACTTTCCTCAGCTGAGCAGCTTAGTTCCTGAACTTCGAGAGCTCCCAGGACATGTGAAGAATGTGGCAGAAAGGGTTAGATTTATATTGGCCTGAGCCTGTTCATCTGTCACGTAACTTTGAAGCAAAAAAGAACACGTGCATTAGTTGCAGAGCTGTAGAGGTGGTTCTTTGCTCTTAAATTAACTGAAACTGGCTTGTAAAAATGGGGTTAATCTGTCCTGTGTGGAGTAAAACTCAAGCTGAAACTGCACTGCTGTGGTGCCCTAAGTCAAGCACAGGAGGTTTCTGAGTGGCTTTTAAAATCTTTTGTTTAAAACAACCCCCTTTTCTAGAGATCTACCCCTGAGACCCACAGGTCCTTGGTTTTAACCTGGCTTAGGGTTGTATGAAAATGGACCTCGTCAGACACCATTTGGCCACCTCTCAGTGCTTTCTAATCCAGTATTTTGAGTGCTGTCCCCTGCTTGAAAGTTGGTATGTTTTCAAGTGGAGCTGGAAAACATACTGTTTGTTGGAATAATGATGCCATAAACCTTTGTAAATCATTGGTTTATCCTTAGACTGAGCTGAAGAACTAAAGCTTTGATGGTTCTGCCAAATACATTTTATTAAATGTGTGTTTTCTGACATTCCTTAGTCTTATTTTTTGCTGGAGAATTGACATCTGTCTAAGTAGTACTAGTATTTGGTGTTCAGGGGTAAAACTGTGCCAGTAGATATCTATAAATGGTGTTTGGCCTAATGACACCTAAAGTAAGTATGTTTTGGGCTGCTGCCATGTTAATGAAGGCCATGTGTTACAGGGGAAATCAAGTTTTGAACTGCAGGCCCTGGAATTGCTGATGCAGGAGTGGCTTATTGGGATGCTCCCTGCCCATGTGCTTTCACAGTGTCAGTGCTTCCCACGTGCAGTGTTCATCTCCTGCTGTTCCATGTGGTGCCTTGTGCAAGAGTGCACCTCCAGCATTCAAAATACCTTCCACTTTCTTCCTAACAAGCTGCAACTGCTCCATCATCATCAACTGCCAAGACCTTTAGATTTATCCCCATTTCAGTGATTTAAGTGCTTTATTTCACATGACAGCAGCAGAGATTGGATTTCAGTTTAGAAAGAAAAGTCAGTGAAGTAAGAGCATTAGGGGAAAATGCATGCACAGTTCCTTTTCAAATAACTTCCTTTAACCATCTCTGCTAATTAAAACACTTCTTTTTTAGGCAAAGTTGAAGGATTTCTAAATAAGCTTGAGCTTCCATAAATAATGGAAAAGAGAAATGGAAATGGAAAGAGAAATCAAATGACAAGGATACTTAGTATAGTTCAGCTCCCCTATCCTGTCCATGAGAACAGGGTGCTCTTCTTTTTAAGACCCTGATCCATAAGTGAATCCCACATGGATGTGCGTTTACTGCAGTTGGCAGACTGTCTATGGACTAATGTAATGCTGGGTAGAGAAGTTTGATTGATTTTTTTTTTTTTAATAGTTCTTAGAGTGTTTTCTCAAATCATCTCAGACATTAACAGGTGTCTGAATTTTCCACTGGCATTTCTTCATGCAAAAATTTCTGACTAAATACTCCACTCATACTGCTGATAAAGGATGGTCAGTAAAGAAATGCATGTGAAAAAAACCCTTGACTTCAGGAGGAACCTTCACTGCCTCCTGCTTTCTTCTTGGCACTGGAAATAACTGTGCACTTTAGTGGGAATTCTGGTGTACCTTTGGGTTGTTCCAAGGGAAATTGGCCATAACAAACTGGAGGGTGAACAAGTTTTAGTTAAAAGATTTATGCAAGGGAAGAGAATAAATCTCTTCTTAATTGTGATTTTGCTTTGTCCTGGGAGTGTGTGGGGTAATTAGTAAAACTATATAAAGAGATTAAAAAGTACCAGAAAACACATAAATTGTACTTTCATCTCCACTGTCTTTGGCCCTTGCCTTTGCATGTCAGATAGCAATTTGAAAATTGCTTAGTTGTCATTGCTGCCCCAAAATCCAGTAGTTTAGTCTTTTCTCTTAAAACCTGCTTGATTTACTTGGTTGTGCTTTGCAACTGTGATGGTTTTTCAGCATCTGTATTTGTAATATTTTATAAGCACTTTTCTTTCCAAGGAAAGATGAAGCCTAAACTAATACTTGCAAAAACTGCAGTGTAATTTTTCTCAAGAGCCTGCTTTTGATATAAAAGTTATCTGTATTTTGGTATTTCTTGGCCTAAACCAAGATGCTCTTCCTTACCAGGTGCCTGTGTTAAATACAGAGAAAAAGCAAGTCATGCTTCAAAGAACCAAAGTTTTTATCCTGCACTGTTAAACACTTGTACATCTTAGTTGTGGTGAAAACTCCCAAATCCCGATTGTCATTATATGTCTGGACCTGAGTAGAAATTATGTGTGTTCACTGTGTGATGTCTGTTGTAAGGCAGATGAGCTACACCACATGGAACTTTCATAGAGCTGGTTGTTCACATTATATCAGTCTCCTTTGGCTTCTTCTGGCTGCTTGTCAGTGCCAGCAGACCTGTTGTGTAGAGGAAGCATTAGTTTGCATATAATTTTTAAATTGGAGAGAATGCTTTGCTGCAATGTAACAAATGTAGGAAGACTTACTAAGGTCCAATTAAAAAATTTATCAATAGCATTAGGGATGTTTTTTTCTTCTGAAGTCCTTGAACAGTGTTTTTATTTTCTTTTTTTCATTTGTGTGTGTGTGTGATTAGCTATGTGGGATTAACCCAGTGAGCTTAAATGGAGTGGCTTCTTCTGCCCTCTTTATTTTAGTTTCACGGGAGCCAGTTTTATTCCTCTTCCCCTTCCCAGTGATGTGCTGCATTCATGTGTTTTTGGTTAAGAGAGATGAAGTAAAATCCCTCCTTGAAGTGGCTGATAGCACTTGTAGAGCGAGGGAGTGAAGATTTAAGAATTGCCTGATCGTAGGAGGACCTCTGGTACTGACAACAGGACCTGGGCAGAGCACTTACTTTCAAGTACTGTCATTTCCCTCTGTGGAGTAGGGTAATACTTTTTTTATAGGAAGCATTGTGAGCAGTTAATGTTTGCAAGACTCTTCTGAATAGTTTTTGAGAAACAGACAAACAAAAAAGATCATAATCAATCATTGCCATTTTGGGGGTGAAGTGTTCTGATTGTGTTAATCTTTACTTCTGCCTCTGGGACCGGAACTTTGTGAAAGACTTGAAATGTATTTCCTCCCCTCATGGATAAGGTTGGTAGGGTAGCAAAATGGCCTCCACCAGATGTTTCCAAGTGACTCAAAGCAACTTTGTTACCTTGTACACGGAGGTACAACATGAACAGCTAGGCTTCTGTGCACTTCAGTGTCTTCATTTTGTGTCTGGCTGGGTCTCAAACTTAGGGAAGTTTTTTTCCCCCTCTGCTTTACCACTGTGATTAGCCAGTCAGACTAATTAATTTTACGGTTTCTCTTTTTTTGTTGTTTTTCCAGGATGGCCCTCAGAGGAAAAAACGGAAGTCTGAAGTTGGAGAAGTGGACAAGCAGTTAGATATCCTGGCTATCGGTACAGCAGTTGGTAGCATTTTGTTGTACAGCACAGTAAAAGGAGAATTACAGAGCAAGCTAGTAAGTAATACAGTCTTCATCACATGCTACCAAATACTGATGGTTTTGGTCAGTTTAGACTGAAAAATCCTGGTTTTGTAGTTAATGGAATATCTTAAC